CAGTGGTCAGAGGCACCCAAGGGGGGAAGGAACTGGGGCTTTCTGGGGCAGGAAAGATGATGGGAGGGATCCCTGTCCGTAGTCCCAGGGTGTGCTAGCCTCCAGAAGGGATGGGGGGCGGTGCCCGGGAGGGGAGCTGGAGGCTCTGGGAAAAGGAGAGAACTGTCCAGGGTTTGAGGTCCCAGAAGAGGGGTGCCGGGTCCCAGGGCAAAGGGGACTGGGAATCCCAAGGGAAAGGGAGGGGTGCATGCCCCAATGCCAGCAGGAGGGGATGGAGGGGTGTCAAGGGACGGGAATGTTGGATCCCAGGATGACGAGAAGGGGAAGGGGTACCGGATGGGGGTCGTGCTCTCAGGAGGAAGTCCTGGTGTACGGTGGTCTTAGGTGGGGATGCCAGGAGTCCTGAGGGATAGGTGATCCTGGGGTGTATGGGAGGACTGGTATCCCAGTTGCGGGTCCCAATTCCTGGTGGGGAAGGGGCTGCGGGATAAGGGTACCAGCTCCTGGTGGGCAGAAGGGAGACTTGGGTGTAGGTCCCAGTTCCCAGGTGGGGGTCCCAGGGTGGAAACAGGTTTTTTTATTTTTTTGGGGGGGGGGGAGAGGGGGAGTGTCCCAGGCTTCTTAGTTCCTGGGGGTGGTATCAGATGGTGGCCCAGGTCCCAGGAAGGCAGACTGGGGGAGGGTGGTTGTGGGGTCTTGGTTTTGGGGAAAGGTCCAGGGAGAAGGTTGTCTTGGGGGAGTGCTCGGGACTAGGAGTCTCAGTTTCGGAGGGGTGGGGGGGGGAAGAGGGGAGGTGTATTGGGAAATGAGGGCCTTGGTTCCAGGGGGGCAGGGCAGGGAGGCCCCAGGGGATGTGGATCTCAGGTCCGGAGTGGGGGGAGGGGGGTCCTGATGTGGAGGAAGCAGGGTGTGGGGGAGCAGGATTCCAGGTCCTGGGGGGAGCTGGGTGGGGGTGGGGTGGGATCCCAGGGAGCTGGGGGGGGTCCTGGTGGGGGGGCGGGATCCCATGTCCCAGGGGGTCCCGGTCCGGAGGGAGTTGGGGGTGGTGGTCCAGGGCTGAGGGGTTGTAGGATCCCAGGTCCCGGGAGTCAGGGCTGGAGGGTCCCGAGGGATGGGGATCCCAGGTCCTGGGGGGAGCTGGATGAGATCCCAGGGGGCAGGGCTGGGGGGGGTCCCGGTCTGGAGAGAGTTGGGGGGGGGAACAGGGCTGGGGGGTCACGGGATCCCAGGTCCCGGGGGTCAGGGCTGGGGGGACCCAGGGAATGTCTGGGGGGAGCTGTGTGGGGGTGGGTGGGATCCCAGGGGGCAGGGCTGGAGGGGTCCCGGTCCGGAGGGAGCTGGTGGGGGCAGGGCTGGGAGGGGGTTGGACGGGATCCCAGGTCCTGATCTGGAGGGAGCTGGGGGGCAGCGCTGGGGGAGTTCCCGGGGAGGGCGGGATCCCAGTCCGGAGGAAGCTAGGGGGGGCAGAGCTGGGGGATTCCCGGGGGGGCGGGATCCCAGATCCCGGAGGGGGGGGGCCGGTCCAGAGGGAGCTGGAGGGGGTGCAAGGCTGGGGGGGTCCCGCTGGGGGGCGGGATCCCAGGTGGGTTCCAGTCCGGAGGGAGCTGGGGGGGCAAGGCTGGGGGGTTCCCAGGGGGGTGGGATCCCAGGTCCCGGGGGGGTCCCAGGCCAGAGGGAGCTGGGGGAGCAGGGCTGGGACAGTTCCCGGGGGGGCGGGATCCCAGGTCCTGGGGAGGTCCCAGTCTGGGGGGAGCTGGGAGGGGGCAGGATCCCAGGTCCCGGGGAGGGTCCCGGTTCGGGGGGAGCTGGGGGGGCAGGGCTGGGTGGTCCCTGGGGGGGACGGGATCCCAGGGGGTCTCGGTTCACAGGGAGCTGGGGGACAGGGCTGGGGGAGGGTCCCGGGGGGGTCCCGGCCCAGAGTGAGCTGGGGGCGGTTCCCGGGGTGGCAGGATCCCAGGTCCCGGGGGAGGGGTCCCGATCTGGGGGGAGCTGGGAGGGCAGGGCTGGGGGAGGGTCCCGGGGTGGCGGGATCCCAGGTCCCGGGTTGGGTCCTGGGCCAGGGGGAGCTGGGTGGGCAGGGCTGGGGGGAGGGTCCCGGGGGGGGTCCCGGTCCAGAGGGAGCTGGGGGCGGTTCTTGGGGGAGGCGGGATCCCAGGTCCCGGGGGGGTCCCGATCCGGAGGAAGCTACGGGGGGCAGGGCTGGGGGAGGGTCCAGGGGGGCAGGATCCCAGGTCCCGGGGGGGTCCCGGTTCGGGGGAGCTGGGGGCGGTTCCGGGGGGGGGCGGGATCCCAGGTACCGGGGGGGGTCCCAGTCTGGAGGGAGCTGGGGGAGCAGGGCTGGAGACGGTTCTGGGGGGGGCGGGATCCCAGTCCGGAGGGAGCTGGGGGGGGCAGTGCTTGGGGATGGTCTCTGGGGGAGGATCCCAGGTCCCGGGGGGGTCCCGGGCCGGGGGGAGCCGGGGGGGCAGGGCTGGGGGAGGGTCCCGGCGGGGTCCCGCACCCGGTACTGGGGCAGCAGCCGCAGCAGGTAGCAGGCCAGCGCCTCGTCGCAGTGGAAGGTGCCGCTGTGGGTGCCGATGCGCGGGGCCATGGCGCTGCGGGGCCGCTGGGGGCCGGGGCCCGGCCTGGGGCGGGGTCGGAGCAGCAGCCGCAGCCGGGCCGCGCGGAGCCCGAACCCCATCCGCCGCCACTGCGCATGCCCCGCAGCGCTCCGAGCATGCGCGCCAAGGCCAAGGGAAGCCACTGCGTGCCCGGCCTCTGCCCTCACCTGCCATGTGCTCCCGGAGCGAGCCCGGCTGGCCCCCGGGGCTGGGTGGGTGAGAGCCTCTCAAGCAGCCGAGACCCGGACCTGGGTTCATGGAGTCTCAGGCTAGAAAGAAGGGACCGTTGTGATCATCAGCCTGTACAAGGCAGGCCAGAGAGCTTCCCCCCACTACTCCCTGGAGGCGACCTGTTAGAAAAACTTCCCCTCTGGCTTTAAACATGGTCAGTGATGGAGAATCCGTGGCAACCTTTGGTAAATTGTTCCAAGGGTTAATTGCGCTCACCCGTGGCTATTTAGTCTGCTCTACGTCATTATTAGTGTATTAGGTGCCCATTATAAATATTTAAGAGAGTAAAATAATTGAAGGAATGGGAGGAAAATTGCTACATATTAAGTGTTTAGCACCCCCAGGTCAGCGCCAGATTTAAGAGAGCTCAGCTGTTTGAGCACTTAAATAAGGGCCAAGTTCTCCAAAGGGTTCAGGACACCGCAGCTCCCCTTGCGACAGCAATGGGCAGATTTTCATAAAATCTCAGCTCGCGTGCACACAGCTCCTTAGAAACTCTGGCCCCTAGAGGTCAATGGGATGAACACTGATCAGCAGTCAGGGTTTCTAAGGAATAAGGCTTGCTTTTTTGTGTGTGTGGTTCCTGATTTTGAGACCAGAAGGAACCATTTATGATCACTTAGTGTCACCTGCATAACACAGGCCAGAGAGCCTCACGCTGTTTGAGCCAGAGCATCTTTTAGAAAGACATCCAATCTTGATTTAAAGACTTCACTGATGGAGAATCCACCACTTCTGCAGGTAAATTTGTTCCAAGGGCTAATTACTTGCTACTTAACGTACACCTTATGTCTAGTCTAAACTTGTCTTGCTTCAGTTCCAAACCAGTGCATCTCATTATGCCTTTGTCTGCTAGATTGAAGAGCTCTCTGCTACCGCCAATCTCTTCTTCATGTAGACTGATCAAGTCACTGCTTAGGCAAATTGGATAGAGTAAGAGACTAAATAAGCTCCAAGGCAGGTTTTCCAGCCCATTTTTGTTGCTCTCCTCTGAACTCCTTGCAATTTGTCAACATCCTTTTTGAAGTGTTGACAACAGAAGAGTATCTGATTTTGTAACTTCTGAGACCCCGCTCCTGCAACTGTATCCCATTTAATCAAGGCCTTAGTGAGAGAATCAGACAGTAGATGTTACATATTTGTTTTTTTTAGGAAGAGGTACAAAAGATTGTGAACCTACCCAGGAGGGCACAGGACTTTTGCTGAGTGTGTGTGAAAGCACGAGAGTATGCACAGAAGAGAGCAAGCAAGCAGAACACACAGAAACTGAGAAAAGACCAAAACAGAAAGAGGTGCAAAGGTAAAAAACAAGAAAGCCAAGCAGTAGCTGGTGAGCACAGTGACACCCTGGAGAAAACTAGAGCGCATGTTTTTGGGTCTGTTGGCTAAAGAGGCTAAGAAACTGCTCCCCTTGTTCCGAATGCAGGAGGAACCAAGGACAACTGGAGTTTACACATTCCCTATAAATAAACAAGACTGCATCAGAGAAAATACCAACTCCATCAATTTCTACTGCCAACTGGAACAGCTGTAGGGCCCCGACTTTTGACTGGCTGATCAGTTCGGGGGAAAAAAAAAGAGGGCAACAATATCAGAGCTCATGAAACGCAACTGAAAAACGAGCTATTACTTGCAGTAAGACGATTCAACTCTCCGCTGTTTGAGCAAAAGTCATTGTGGCAAATTTGCTACATACCCCTGTAAAAGCCATTTGGTTACATTCTGCCTCCTTTTATTCATGGTGTACTTTACCCAGCAAGTGCTTGGGCAGGTTGCAGAATTAGGTACCATGCTATGGGAGCAAGGCCTCGTCGTTGCACAGAAGTTGCACCAATTTAAACTTGTGTGGATGCTCAGATTTAACCCTGGCTTTAGCTTGAATAAGTAAGGAATCAGTTGAAACTGGAGCTATATAAGCCAGGCTTGAAATCAAATGAGCACAGCTACACAGGGTTTTGCACTTTTAAGGGATCAAAAACCCTACATCTTTAGTTAAACTGATACAACTGTGTGTGGAGACCAGAACTAGTTCCCCCTAGCTGTACAGGCGGTGAGAGGTGGCAGAAAGACACTGTCTGTAGTGTTGTTGGAGAAAGGCCAGAAGTATAAAGCATGGAATCACTGTCTGCTTAAAAAGTCCCATAAAGATTCAAACCAGCCCCACTGAAATGAGCTTTTCACAACATCATACATTTTATTGATAAGGCAACAGCGTAGTACAAATATGAAACAGCATCCAACTTCCTTTGTCATAGCATTAAAGCTTTGAAGTTGGGTTCACATTAATACACATGTATTCCAGCTTCTCTTTTTTGCCAATTAGGAAAAGCTCAAGGCATACCAGGGAGGGGGGGGGAAAAGGAAGAGACAGCAGCTGCCTCTATTCTTCATCACTATAATTAAAATAGATTTCTTTTAAATCTTTATTTATAAAGTGCATTGCCTTACAGTTTGTATTACACAAGGCAACAAAACAGAGAGCTGTGTTTCACATTCAGAAATTTCACCTAAGTACTGTACACACTTGGTTTACATGCACAAATGGAAAGAAAAAAATCATGCTTCTATCTGTTCAAAAGAGCAGCTTTGAATGATTTAAACACTTTGTTTAAAATCCAATTTACAATAAAACATTTCCACTATATTAAATAGTTATTTACATTTTGACACTAAATTACTCAACAAAATTTGGCGCAATCATTCTGTAGATCTATAACTTACGTTTTTGTTGACAGGATCAATATTAAAAACAACCACCCCCACCGCCACCTTTCCCCACCACCGTAAAGAAATGTTTTCTTTTAACTAAGCCATTTATAGAATATAAAAAATCAGACCTCCCTATTATCACCTGGTTGTCTATATGTTCAGTTTCTCCAGTCAAACATTTACTTTAGTGCTAGTTTTCCCCAGGGGTGGTTCTTCCCTGGTGTGTGCAATGGTTTTAGGAAAGAAAAGGTGAGGTCAGGCAAACAGTCTAGAACAGCAAGACACGAAGGGAGATATTCAGCATGCCCTCTTTGGGCATTAGTTGCCCTTTCCCGGCACAGCAATGCCCTGGCGACTGATGGTGCAAAGCTGGAGTTATTTGGGTAAAATACACCTGGAGCTGCTCAAAACACTTAGTCATGAGGGTCAAGGCTTTTTATTTGTTTTTTTAAAATTTAAGCTCTGACGTATTTTACTTGCAAGTTATAGGGTATATTGAGCTTTGGCGGAAGGAGAATGCAAAGGGGGCGTGTGCATTTTCAAAATGCACAGGTTTCATTAGAGCCAGCCCAAAAAAACCCAAAAACTTTTTTGTAACAAAAGTGGGGTATTTTTAGGTCAAAAATGTGTTATTAAAAAGATTGAGAATGTTTAGCAAGACATTGGACATTCTTCCATGTATCATTTTCTGGGTTAGAAAAAAAGAAATGTTACAAAAGCCTAATTCTTCAACAGTTTTGAAAACCTGAGGAGTTTCAAAGTAATAGCCAGGATTTTTTTCTTCCATTCTCCACCCAGCTCCCCTTTCCGCATTAGAGACACTGAAACAGAACCGCTCCAAGTCTAACCGAAGGGAACTTCTATGCAGCGTTTGTGCGGGATGCCCCTTAGGAGCTGTGGTTCTCCCTAAGGATGGGTTAGGATTGCTAGAGCACTGTGGTGCTATAGTATTGGGAAGCCTCCCTCTTTGATAAAGGCTCCTTTATGGAGAGAAAGCTCCCATCAGTCAAAGATTTTCTCTAATGATGCCTGCTTCACAGTTTAGCGAGTGGAACAAATACGTACACCCAGGGGTCTCCAATCATTTATAGTGCTCTAGTTAAGCATGGTACTGTACTATGGGTCAAATGCGACAGCAAGAGTCCCTGCCCTGATAAGCTGACAGTCTAAAGGCACAAATGGGTACAATACAGGGTAAACTCCAAGAAGGGTGAGGTAACTACAGCTGGAACACTTCCCACAACTGGCTTTGAGGAGATGAGGGGAAAGCATTGATTGGGTGGGCTGGTCATGGCAACAAGGCACAATGCCAAAAGCGAGGGAAAGATGGAATGGCAGGGCCAGGGGAAGCTTGGAGGGTGCATATAGGGAGGTTAAAGGCAAAACAGCAGAGGAGATTTAAGCATGGGGCTGTGCAGAGATCTGAATGGGGAGATGAGGAACTTGGGAGGAAGCCAGTGAAGGAATTGGTGAAAGGGACAGTTGTCTTGGCAGCGGGATATTGAGTAGTCTTCCATCCCATCTGGCACCATCCTGTCCAGTAGCTGGTGAAGAGAAGGTTTTTATCCCCCCCCAGAACAGGAGACTGCCATATCATTTGGTTGCCAAAAGGATAGGCACAGAAGGAGCAAGCCAAAGTGAGAGGAGGAGGGGGCTTGGAATCAGGGTATGGCTGGCTGAGAGTTTTCTGAAGCAGTTTTTCCAAAGAAAATTGTTTTTTTTTTTTTACCACGAAATTTCATGTTTGCATCCTGGGGGAAATTTCAACTCTTCTGTGGTCAAACACTTCTTTGGATTTTTGAGGAAGAGCCAAAATTTTCCATGGGGAAATTTAAACAATTTTTTTAAAAAAAATCAAAAACTTCAGCACCCCTTCCTCCAGTTTTCCAACCAGCTCTGAGTCAGAGACAGGATTTAAGGAGAAGCTTGAAAGTAGAGGAAGAAAAGGGACAACTGGCCCAAGGGATGCGGGGTGAAGAGTGCTAATTTTGCTTTAGAAGAAAACTAGCAGGGCTGAGGCAAGACACACTGAAGGACAAGTAGAGTCATTTGAGAAGGCAGAGAACAGAGTTGAGGCAGCAAAGAGCAAGTCCTCACGGGGGCTGGATTTTCTCCAGACACACAGAGTGAGCCGGTCCAAGGAGACTGCCAGAGTTGGGGGTTGGAGCGGGGCGGGGGGTAGGACTGAGAAGCAGAACTGGGCAGCTTGCAAGACACACACACACACGCGGGGGGCGTGGGTGGGTTGGGGTTTACACACATACCATGACATCAACCAACGGGAAAATCAACTGAGGTTAAAAGACCCACTACACAAGCGTACAGATATATTTGATACAGCAACAAGATATCTATATTTAAGGCACCGATTTCAAACAAAGGTGACGCATGCATCCGATGAAGTGAGCTGTAGCTCACGAAAGCTTATGCTCAAATAAATTGGTTAGTCTCTGAGGTGCCACAAGTACTCCTTTTCTTTTTGCGAATACAGACTAACACGGCTGCTACTCTGAAAACTATATTAAAGAACACAGTGATCTTCTCCGAGGAGAGGGAACTGCCTTCCCACGGCTTCTCAGACAAGTGCAGAGACCAAGGAGGAGATCAATTCCTTGGATCTGAGTGAGCGATATTTCAGATTGGCGAGACTCAGGAACGCAGATAGGGAAAAGGTTAACTGTGCTGTACATAAGCTCAAGGCACTTAACGCTTGCAAAGGAGCTGCTTTCATTCTTACTGTGCGAGCGACACCAAGTGGACACAAGAGAGATTCGCAAAAAGAAAAGGAGTACTTGTAGCACCTTAGAGAGACTCACAAATTTATTTGAGCATAAGCTTTCGTGAGCTACAGCTCACTTCTCGAAAGCTTATGCGCAAATAAATTTGTGAGTCTCTAAGGTGCCACAAGTACTCCTTTTCTTTTTGCGAATACAGACTAACATGGCTGCTACTCTGAAACAAGAGAGATTGCAACCAAAGATACAAGCAAAGCAGTCTCTCCCCCACCTGGGACACAGGATTTCTTATTTCCCAGAATATCTCCAGGGATATACTTATCATTCCTACAGCCTTTTTCTACCCTGATGGGAGGAATTATTTTGGTTTCCCTTTGAAGATTCTATCTAGAGGCTTAAACATCTGCATTTCACAATGTGGTGTCCCAGCACACCCTTCTCCCTGCCCTCATACCTCTGTGCTGTGCAGACACACACTTGAACTATGCACATTTTAAATGACATTCAAATACTGAGATGCCTAAAAAGCAGATGACATGCCGGGTCTCTCTGCCAGTCTCAACTCAGCTTTCTGGAAAGTTTACTCAGTAATGAGGTTTTCCTATTTATATTTAATCACGTTGTTTTATTAAACATCATTATTTAGGGCTCCCTCTTGAAGAGCTGTGGCAGTGAGCACAGAGGAGACAGTTGGCATTTCAGGCATAAGTCAATACACAGGAATCAGAGAAAAAGCATAATTTAAACAAGAGAAATACCGTGATTTCACATAACCCCCAAGAATATATTTGTGGAATCCCGGCTCTCTGAAGTCACCAGTTAGTGAGTTACTGCAGGCCGAGTTCCTTCCAGAATTATGAAATAATTCTTTTTTTTTTTTTTTTTTTTAAAGGAAACATTTCTTCTTATTCCAAATCTCACAACCTGGGGGAATGCACTCTCCTACAATAAGTGCTTGGAAGTTTTGGCATATGGAATGAACGGTTTTAACACGAAAGGCCACTGGCAACTTCCTGAGAGCGGTAGAGGGTCAACCAAAGTGCAACACAAATCTTCCCACATTAGTGCAAGAGACAGAGAAAGCAACACCATTGCCATGCGGCAGCCACTTGACAGAGGAGCATGAACACAGAGCTTCAAAGCCCAATTCTGATTCTTTAGCATTAGGAAAACGAGCAACTTGTTTACAAAGGCGGTGGTGGCAGCTAAAGGTGCACATTAGCAGATGGAAAGTAATTTTCATAGTACACAAAACAGAAGCCGACCCCAAACATCCTCTGCACACCCAACGACTGACACACAAGGGACTGAACTAGAGGGATTTTCTTTGCTCTTGCGTCATTTGGTTTTCCTTGGTTGGCAGATTTTTCTACAATTTTTTTTGCCCTCTTAATAGCGCTTGACCTGCCACTGTTGGAGGCCCCAGAGTGGATACATGTTTCTCTCCAAAATGGATGCTATCACTGGCCGCTGTGATTTCATATGTTTGCACAGGGCCTAGCACAATGGGACCCCTGACACAATAGAGTCTGTGTCCTGTAGTGCATTGAAAGCAGGACTCCTACATAGCACAGGAAAACTCTGGAGAACTCAGGATGAAAGACTGGGTTCATCTCAGGCCTTAATTGACTGTGATGCAATGCTATGCACAGCTTATTGGCTGCTTTTCCTCTTCCTTAGTTCTAAGAAACCAGGACTCCTCTCGTAAAGACTGAAATCTTGCTGCAACCAGAACATTTCAGGGTAGGAAGATGTGAGATTAATCCTTCCCCGCTTAATTCTTACTGAGTTATCCCAAGATGTTGCACATTTAACAGGCTTGGCAAGTAATCTGTTCAGACGCTATTTGATAACTGTCCAGCAGACCCAAAGGCCCAGAAACCACCCCACTGGCCACCCCACAGGCTGAAAGGGTTTGTTCCTAACTGATTATCTGAGGTCTCACCTCGACACTTGGCAACATCAACATTGAAACAAAAATGGTACAGCGTGTTGATTAGCATGGATTTTCGTGCTTTTAGCTATCCATCCTGGGAGCCCAAGAGACAGTCTTCAGTCTATCACAGATCAAGGGTGAAACTGGCAAATACCACTTCCAGTCTGGCTACACCTCTCAGAGCAACCCAAGAGACTAGTAACCTTACAAATATCCCATTCATTCCTGTCGCATTAACAGGGGGACAGACCACAACGTGCCATTGCTTCGGAGATCTTCAGCTTCTACACAGCAGGCAAATGGAGATTTCTCTCAGAGATACAGGAATTGTTCTCCCCTAAGTGCATTGCCCTATTTATTTTGAGACTAAGATATTTCTGTACTTTGCAGCCAGTGTTGGAGGAGGTGGGTGCATATGCTGGGATCATTCAGCTGGCTCTGGGGTGGAATGAGCCAGCAACTATGCACCAACAGCACTTGGGCAACAGGCTTTGGGAAGGGATAGGAGGAGTAACTAGAGAACTGTTCTCTCTCCACAGACAGCATTAGGGGTTCATTGAAGCCCTGAATTCCAAGCTCACCCATGAAATCTCCGTCATTTCCTCCCAACTAGTGGCCTGACTTTTCAGTTTTTACTTTGTAAAACAAGCCAAAAAAGTGGTGGTTTCAAGAAGGCCTCAGTCTGAAGGCAGCCTTGAAACAGCCATAAAGGGATATGTGAGGATATGTGAGCATAAGGGATAGGGTTACAGAAGGAAGGCAAGTGGAAAAGCCACTCGCTGGGGAAAAAAAAAGCAGCGTAGCTGGGTTGGCTGCCGCTCTGCAGCAAGCCAACTCAGGTGACTGAAGATGTGCAGAAAACGCAGTCCTCTCCAGTAGTGTGAAACTAAACTGGGTCTATATACAAACCCTGGTTAAGGGTCACACCCCTCCCGCTCACCAGGCTGACTTATCCCTTTCTTTCTCGGTGCGCTGTCCTGCATCTGAAGTCAGGAGATTTCATTGCCAAAAACCTCCAGGACCAGCGGGGTGAGCTGCATGCTGTGCTCTGGCTTGAAGGAAAGGCAGCGGTACTGTTTGGAATGCTCCTCATTCAGGCTCCGCAGGTCTGCCAGCTTCTGGATCATCTTGGCATAGAGTAAGCGGTTGCCTGGGGGAGGGTGTTTGCACAGAATGTAGGTCTGCAGGACCTCGGAAAGGCGGTCTTGGAGGGACTCCACCAGAGAAGTGTCCTGCACGCCAGGGCGGTCTAGAAATCAAAGCAAACAATTCAGGTCATGGGAAGGGTTTAGCTGATTAGTACTGTCGGGATGGTCTAAGCATAATCCTGCTCAGTGTGGGGGGACGACCCCTTCCAGCTCGACATTTCCATGATTTCTTGCTATCGCCGCTTGTTTATTTAAAAGGATTCAGGAAGTACACCTATGCCAGGCTCTAGGTGCCCGATCGTTACTGCCACGTGTCAGACACAGCTGCACTACATCATAATTTCAACAGAAACAAACAGCCAGACACCCACTGAAAACTCCTTTCCCCTCCCTCAGTTAGGAACGTCAGAGGTTTTTGGCAGCATGCCACTAAATCGGGTGCTATTTCAGACCACGGAGGGGAGCAAGTTCCAGGATCACAGATCCCTCACAGGGATCTCCCTGTCAGCTGCCCCCTCTCTTTTACAAGATGGGGAGCCAGCTCAGGTACCAGCGCAGATCCAAGAGCACTGGTGTCATGCGCCCAGTGAGATGCTCCACTCAATAAGCGAGTCACTGTTCTGCACTGGCATCAGTCTCCGAATGGTTTTAAGGTGTAGCCCCACACACAGCACCTTGGCAACCCACGTTTGATTCCAAGTCTCTTGCTCCCTGGCTCGGCAGTGGCTGTGAGGGCTGCGGTGCCTTCCCTGGGCTTGGATCAGGGTCTTATAGATGGCTAGTGGTTAGCTTTGTAGGCCCTGGCTGAGGGGGGCAGCCCCACTTCCGCAGTACAGATAAAGGCAGCTCATAGATTATTGGCTCTGAGCATGGAACATGCAGCCAGACACCAAGTTTCTCTTACCAGGGGAGAGGATGCAGATGCCCATCAGGAGCACATGCTCCTCTTCGTGAAGGTTCAACTTCTTTAAGCCAATCTGAAATTTCACAAGTGGTTCCAACAGTTCTAGGCTGTGACCAGCTAAAAGACAAAACACAGAACATCCTCCAGAACAGTCTTTCTACCTCCAGGAATTCGGATCTCCTAAAAGTCAACTGCTAAGTGAAAACAAAGGCAGAGATATCAAGTTTCAGAGTAGCAGCCGTGTTAGTCTGTATTCGCAAAAAGAAAAGGAGTACGTGTGGCACCTTAGAGACTAACCGATTTATTTGAGCGTGAGCTTTCGTGAGCTACAGCTCACTTCATCGGATGCATCCTGTGGAAAGTGTAGAAGATCTTTTTATACACACAAAGCAGAGTGGGGTGGGGGGAGGTATTTTTTCATGCTTTGTGTGTATAAAAAGATCTTCTACACATTCCACGGGATGCATCCGATGAAGTGAGCTGTAGCTCACGAAAGCTTATGCTCAAATAAATTGGTTAGTCTCTAAGGTGCCGGAGATATCAAGGATATCTGCAACCAGGTCCCTTCAACTCAGAGAGTTTGGTCAATGGGAGAGGAGATAATAAGTGGTTGAAATGGATCAGTTCCAAACTCTAGTTCTCATGAAGCAATTAAGCGTTTGTCACACAGCTCTAATTACACCTGAGTGTTGCTACTCTAATCATGGGACCCCCCTCCCACAGCTTTATCAATGCACCTCATTCCAGACCTACAACCCTCCCTATATCTTATTTCTGGGCCTCTCTCCTGCAGAGACTTGCTAAATGGTAAGACTTTGGAGCAGGGACCTTGTCTTTATATCATTTAAAGCATCTTAGCATGCTGCTGGTGCTATGCCCATTAAAAGCAAATAATTTTAGGAGCTAGGAGAAGGAATCATTGGCACTTGAGGATCTTGGAAAGCTCAGCACTCTGATTCCTAGTTAGCTGATCTGCAAAAGGAGAGTGTGTGGGTTTACAACAGTGGTAAACAGTCATTTTATTCAAGTGTCACATTTGCATGCACACTGACTCAACTTTCCATAGGATTTTTGCAAATAGATAATTTCCAAGTATTTACTACTGTAACAGTAGCAGGTTGTTTTAAGCCAGCTGCTCTTGAAACAGGAATCTCCCGAGTGTGGTAAACAAATGACAGCAGCAGGGACTACGTTGCTGGAAGCTCAGATTTCAAGGCCAGATTGATCTGGGGTAAGTGACTGGTCTCTTGGGACTGGGAGCAACCTGATGTGGTGTGATTTTTGGTTTAAGAGATTTTTTTATCACGAAGTTCAGTTTGCCTGAGTGGCAAGATAGGCTGGAGAGTCTGAGGGGCTGTCTGTGACTCCATCGTAAGACTGACATAGTGATCCAGGAGTTCACTTTTGTTACTGGCTTGGTGAAAGCTAATTATAGAACACACCACTGGTTTGGAGAGTTTGCCCTGAGGTAAACACTCATAGCCGTGAGCCACTCCAGACAGCGTGACAAAGACTTCATTGGATAGACTAAGGATCCCTCTATCAGATATATTCTCTTTGCATAGGTACTTCTAGACTAGCGGTTCTCAAACTGTGGGTCGGGACCCCAAAGTGGGTCACGACTAGGTTTTAATGGGGTTGCCAGGGCTGGCTTAGACTTGTTGAGGCCTGGTGCCAAAGCCCAAGAGCTTCAGCCCTGGGCGGCAAGGTTCAGGTTAGAGGACCTTTCCCTGGGGCTGAAGCCTTTGGGCTTTGGTTTTGCCGCCCTGGCCCACGCCACTTCCCGCAGCTCCCATTGGCTGGAAACGGCAAACCATAGCCACTGGGAGCTATGGGCGGCTGTGCAAATGTAACCAAACTGTCTGGTGGCCCGCCAGAGGATTACCCTGATGGGCTGCATGCGGCCAATGGGCCGCAGGTTGCCCACCACTGTTCTAATGGGTATTATTTTCAGATGACTAGTTAGGCTGTTAAATGTACATGCCCCATGGGGCTCAAGCACAATGTAAGGGATGTGAGGGCCTTGTGCTGGGGCTCCGGTCAGGAATGAATTACATGCCAGTACCCAATCCCAGCTAACATCACCTTAACTTTGCATTCCTTGAATTGGTGTGGATCTCAATTTGCATCCCCAAAGTGGTATTAAATTATAGTAAATGCAAAAATCTATGTTAAGGTTGGGGAAATCAGATTCAGACAAATTTATTAACCTTCAACAAGCAACAAAGCTGCCATGGGACCCATGCTGTACTTTGGTTACAGGGGTAGCCAGAGATAATTTACCTTGGGTAACGTCATTGATTTGGTACTTGAATTCATTGCCTCCACATGACCATGCCATATCCTCCAAGGAAAACGACTGGTTTGAACGAAGCATAATAATTTCAATGGCGCTGGACTTCAGTAAGGCAATCTGGTCCTCCGCCGTCAGATCCCTGAACATTGGAAGGGAGGGGGAGACAATCAGTGAGACTTCAAGTAAATCTAACACCAACCCTCCAGTTAGATTGGCAATGGACCTGCAACCAAATGCCAGCCATATAGGTAATGTCTTCTGGCTCACCGCCAAAAGCAGCCTTTTTGGACTACAGAAATACAGAAGTAGAATAAAACCCAAAATTCCGTCTGGTGGCTCGTTTGGAAATTAAATGAACTGAAACTGCAGTAAAAAGATACTGCAGTTCACCCAGGATGAAATGCTTAAGGGAGTTAGAGTTGGGAAAAGGGACCTTGTATAGCTTTTTTTGTAACTTGGAATTAGTCTCTCTCACTTGCAACATCCCCTTAGAATCTTGAAAAATAACAGCTTCCCCTACTGTCATTCCTATTTGAAAAGCTGGTATTTCCCTGTGTTTCTAACAGAAATGATGACACCAGGGTACCATCTTTTAAAAAATTATGTGTGTTGCAGTAGCACCTACGAGCCCTGGTCACAGACTAGGAGCGCATTGTGCTCGGAGCGATACAGAAGCAGAACCAAAAGGCAGTATTTGCTTAAAGAGACTTATTTCCTTGATAATGCACTAGCTCTGACAACAAGCATGCACAGGTCTCGAACAGCGTTTGTCCTATGATTAACCTAGAAAGCATTGTAGCCTAGTGGAGAGAGCGTGAACTGTAGCAATCAGGAATCCTGTTGTGACATTCCCCAGGGTACAACTGGGACTATTGAACAGCTGTGTCCCCTCAACTCTCCAACCTGGAGTGCCTTTTACACTACTTTGCTGTGAAAGCAACCACTCCTGGTCTGCTCACACACAGCCTCCAACATGTACATAACTTCCAGGTATACGGTGAGTGCTACAGCCAGCCGCTCCTGAATTACGCTGCCAAGCAACACCAGCAAATTCCCAGTCCCAGATTTGCCCCCAGAAACGTGAGTCTCATACTGCCCAGCTCTCTACTGGACAATACAACCTCATATAAAGATAGTCATTTTTTAAATAGAAAATGATATGCACCAATCCTGTTATCTCAAATGGTATCTCAATCCAAACACACTGGTTTAGATCAAACAAGTTTATTAACTACAGAAGGATAGGTTTTCAGTGATTACAAGTAATGAGGCATAAAAGTCAGAAGTGTTTACAAGAAAATAAAAAGGTAAAATGCAAAGAATATTAATTTAAGTTAAATGAATTCAAAGCAAAGGTATCTCTCACCACTTGCTTCAGTAGTCTTACTGGCTGGATTTCTGTCAGCCAGGACCCCTCTCTCGCTCAGTGTTACTTTCCTTATCCTTCAGGTATTGATGCCATGGGCAGAGAGTAAAGGACGAATAACTTGGCGTGTTTGTTCCCCATTCTTACACTTTTTCTTCTTTGAGAATCATCTCCAGCTGGGATTCAGGAGACAAAGTCTGTGGGGACCGGAACCTCCAGCTGTTTCTTTGCCAAGAACATAACAGCCATACTGGGTCACACCAAAGGTCCATCTAGCCCAGTATCCTGTCTTCAACAGTGGCCAATGCCAGGTGCTTCAGGGGAATGAACAGAACAAGTAATCATCAAGTGATCCATCCGCTGTCACCCATTCCCAGCTTCTGGTAAACAGAGGCTAGGGACACCATTCCTGTCCATCCTGGCTAAGAGCCATTGATGGCCCAATCCTCCATGAATTGATCTTTTTGAGCTGGGGCAACCAGATCTGCATGCAGTATTCAAGATGAGAGCGTACCATGAATTTACATAGAGGCAATATGGTATTTTCCTAATTAGTCCCAACATTTTGTTAGCTATTTTGATTGTCTCTGCACACTGAGTGGATGTTTTTTTTTGCAGAGAACTATCCACAAAGACTCCAGGATCTCTTTCTTGAGTGGTAACAGCTAATTTAGACCTACCATTTTATATATATCCTTCGGATTATGTTTTGCAATGTGCATTACTTGAAATTCAATGTTGATAAATGCAATCTGCCATTTTGTTGCCCAGTCACCAAGTTTTGTGAGATCCCTTTGTAACTCTTCGCAGTCTGCTTTGGACTTAACGATCTTGAGTAGTTTTGTATCATCTGCAAATTTGCCACCTGTTTACCCCTTTTCCCAGATCGTTTATTAATATCTTGAACAGTACTGGGTCCAAAATGTAAATTTCTCCCTTACACCCTTTTTCCTGCCACAGACTATCCAGGCGATAGTCTATTTGATTTCACTGACACCTGGCTGAAGTGTCAGTTTGCCTTTTGCCTCTGAGGAACTGGTTTTTGGCTGCTTTTCAGACTTTGGAACATGTCTCAGTACTATCATACAGTAGAATCTTTTACATACAATGTTGCCACACATATTTTACCAGGATAATAATAAGCAGCAAATTATGAGTTTTCAAATGACACCTCACAAGGCATATTTTGTGCATAATTTATCATAGTCTTGTAAAAGGGGTGAACATAAGGATACAGACTGTCACATCTGTGTTCTAATCCTGCTTCTAGCACTGACTTAGAATAATAGAATCATAGAAGATTAGGGTTGGAAGAGACCTCAGGAGGTCATCTAGTCCAATCCCCTGCTCAAAGCAGGACCAACCCCAACTAAATCATCCCAGCCAGGGCTTTGTAAAGCCTGACCTTAAAAACCTCTAAGGATGGAGATTCCACCACCTCCCTAGGTAACCCATTCCAGTGCTTCACCACTCTCCTAGTGAAACAGTGTTTCCTAATATCCAACCTAGACCTCTCCCACTGCAACTTGAGACCATTGCTCCTTGTTCTCTCATCTGCCATCACTGAGAACAGCCTAGCTCCATCCTCTTTGGAATCCCCCTTCAGGTAGTTGAAGGCTGCTATCAAATCCCGCCTCACTCTTCTCTTCTGCAGACTAAATAAGCCCAGTTCCCTCAGCCTCTCCTCATAAGTTGTGCCTCAGACCCCTAATCATTTTTGTTGTCCTCCGCTGGACTCTCTCCAATTTGTCCACATCCTTTCTAGAGTGGGGACCCCAAAACTGGACACAATACTCCAGATGTGGCCTCATCAGTGCTGAATAGAGGGGAATAATCACTTCCCTCGATCTGCTGGCAATGCTCCTACTAATGCAGCCCAATATGCCATTAGCCTTCTTGGCAAAAAGGGCACACTGTTGACTCATACCCAGCTTCTCCACTGTAATCCCCAGATCCTTTTCTGCAGAACTACTGCATAGCCAGTAGGTCCCCAGCCTGTAGCACTGCATGGGATTCTTCCATTCTAAGTGCAGGACCCTGCACTTGTCCTTGTTGAACCTCATCAGATTTCTTTTGGCCCAATCCTCCTATTTGTCTAGGTCCCTCTGGATCCTATCCCTACCCTCCAGTGTATCTGCCTCTCTCCCCAGCTTAGTGTCATCCATGAACTTGCTGAAGGTGCAATCCAAGCCATCCTCCCTGGTCTTTAATGAAGATGTTGAACAAAACCATACTATGTTACCTTGGGGTCTCTTACTTCAACTGCATAATGGGAAACAAGGAAATCAGTTTACCACATTGAGGTGCTATGGTATCAAAATAAAGCATTGCTGATGGATACTGTGGTGATGCACACCAGAGAGAGGCCTAAGAGCCTCACAAACACAAATTTAACATTACCAGTGATGGAACCAATGCTTTCACTGATTTTCCCACAGTAATGGTCAGATCTTTTTGCTCATTAGGGTGTCCGATGACTTATCCATCTAACATCTACTCTCTGGCTCCCAAATTAACTAATATTTGCTTATGTTAAACTGTATCTGCTGGCCCAACCACCTTCACTATCCACATCTAGATACTATAGAACCCTCAATTCCTACTCGCATCCTGGGCTCAGAAATTGAGTGGGCAGAAGAAGTTTCCAACTCCGAGTTGCTGAACCTTGAGTTGACATCTTGCAAAAGAATCCCACTAGTGAGCAAAAGCGAGAAGTACAAGCAGAAAGCAAATAAGAAGAGTTCTTTTGGATGTGAGGAGCCAGATTCTGATTTCATTTGTGTCAATGGATTATCTACAATGGATTTACTCTGTCTTTACACCAGTGTAACAAATCAGAATTTAATAGAGGGCACAAATATACTGGTGTAAACTTGAAAAATAAAAGGCAAATTTGGCTTTACCAAGATAGCAGCACACATCAGGGATCGAACTCAAATCCATGGTTAGCTTCCAGACCAATAATCAGCCCGCCATCTGTACTAGATGAAAGTGATCAGAGAATAGCAGAGGCTGTTCCTGGAATTCTCAGAAACACAGAACCTTTGTTCTGTTCTTTGAAACTGAAAGACACTGCCGTCTGAGTAAGCTTTTAGATTTGAGTGCTTTAGTTATTCTTCCTGGGAGCTCTTGAGAAGTCCTCATCCTATCGCCGCTCAGCGCTGAACTTGGCAGAAGCCACTTCCAATCCAGAGCAATCCACAAAACACCAAACGCCTTCTATGAATCATCATCATGCTAAGATTATAGAATGCTTTACAGAGTGATTTGTAAACTTTGGGCTCAGGAAACAAGCACTGAGTGGTGGGATCACATCGTCATGCAAGTCTGGGCTGCGGCGCAAGCACACGAGATTGAGAGCTGCCCTGACGGTGGAGAAGCGGGTGGCTATTGCAGTCTGGAAGCTGGCAACTCCGGACAGCTACCAGTCACTAACCAGTTTGGAGTGGGAAAGTCGACCGCTGGAATCGGATTGATGCAAGTTTGCAGGGCCATTAATCGCATCCTGCTCAGAAGAACCGTGACTCTGGGCAATGTGGGTGACATTGTGGCTGGCTTTGCACAATGGGTTTCCTTATCTGCGGAGGGGTGATAGATGGGACGCACATTCCAATTCTGGCACCAGACCACCTCGTCTCAGAGTACATAAATCGGAAGGGGTATTTCTCTATGGTTCTCCAGGCGCTTGTGGATCACTGTGGGTGTTTCATGGACATTAACGCAGGCTGGTCCGGAAAGGTGCATGACACACGCATTTTCTGGAACACTGGCCTGTTTAGGAAGCTGCAAGCTGGGACTTTTTCCCCAGACCAGAAGATCACCGTAGGGGAAGTCGAAATGCCCATTGTGATCCTTGGACACCCCGCTTACCCTTTAATGCCGTGTCTCATGAAACGCTACACAGGGAGCCTTGATGGCAGCAAGGAGCAACAGGCAGAGTCGGTGCAGAATGCATCCGATGAAGTGAGCTGTAGCTCACGAAAGCTTATGCTCAAATAAATTTGTTGATCTCTAAGGTACCACAAGTATTCCTTTTCTTTTTTCAGAATGACTGTTGAGTGTGCTGTTGGCCGTTTAAAGGGCCACTGGTGCTGTCTGTATGGGAAGCTGGACCTGGCCGTTATAGCTGTGTGCTGTACCCTCCATAACATTTGTGAAGGGAAGGGTGAAAGCTTCACTCAGGCATGGACCTCAGAGGTTCAACACCTGGAGGCTGAATTTGAACAGCCAGAGACCAGCGTATTAGAGGGGCCCAGCGCGGGGCTGTAAGGATTAGGGATGCCTTGAGGGAGCAATTTGATGCTGAAAGCCACCAGTAATGTTTGGTGCCCTGCATCTGTGTTTGCTATGTACGATGCACTGACTTGCAGTGCCTGTTGCTTTCCTGGGCTATGGTATCTTTTACTTAATGCAATAAAGAACGTTTTCAAAGCCAAAACAGTCATTTATTGAAAAGAAACACAACTGCTTGGGAAACAGAAAGGGCATGACACATCTGTGCTACGTGGGAGGAGGGAAGGGGGGTGGGGAACGGGACAATCACAGATTTGCATATGTCCTGTTATCATACTCAGCTTTCCTGTCTGGAGTGCCGTAGAATGAGTGCTGCTCTTCAGGCTGGCTAACATGCGTGGTGATGTGGGTTGAGTGCAGTGGGTAAGGGTTGTAGTTTGCAAGGCTGGGTGGTGAAGCTACAGGCATTGGAGGCAGCTGGTGGAGATAAGAACCCGGATGTTGGGGAAAGTGGGTTGGCAGTGACATGGGGGCACAAGGGAAAGAGTTTTGGGACAACGGCTGCAGGGGATGGGCAGGTGCGGATGTGCTCCGTCTGCATTGCTATGAGCGCCTGTATCAACTCCGCTTGGCGCTCCATGATGCTTAGCAGCTGCTCCGTGCTTTGGTGCCGGTGATCCGCATTCTGCTGATGAAGCCTCCTTTCATCTCCCGCCACTCCTGTACTTTTTGATTTTCATTAAGGGACTGCTGCATGACTTCATGCAGCAGGTCCTCTGCGTCTTTGCGGACGCTTCCTGATTCTTTGAAATCTTTCAGCAGTTGATAACAAGGATGGCTGGGATCTCAAGGTTGCATCTGTAAAGCCAAAATGCAACACTTAACAGAGGCAGCATTGTTCACACCAGACAGAGCAATGATTTGGCCGTACTTAAAGACAAATAGAGTGTACATAATAGCAGAAACTGCCCGACCCAAAGCGAGCGAACATAATCCACAGGAGCCCCAAAATGATGAGTAAGCACAGGGGCAAGGGGGACTGATTGTTTCATAGCCATACTGTCCTCTGGGGTTCTGTGCCTTGGGAAGAGCCAACAGCTGTAGGGGGCCCCTATAGTGAACACTGTCCCCACATTTTCCACAGGATGAATTCGTCCTGGAAGATATCTTGCTGCTAAGGGTGACCTGGGAAGCAAGGGAGGGTCTTCTACTACAATGTGGCTTCCACCCTGGCCCTTATGCAGATTGCCTGTGTGCAGCAGTGGTCTGCCCGCCCATCATGGCACAGTGGCATGGACATGTTAGCCTTAATCATAGAATCTCAGGGTTGGAAGGGCCCTCAGGAGGTCATCTAGTCCAACCCCCTGCTCAAAGCAGGACCAATCCCCAATTTTTGCCCCAGATCCCTAAATGGCCCCCTCAAGGATTGAACTCACAAACTTGGGTTTAGCAGGCTGATGCTCAAACCACGGAGCTATCCCATGTATACTGGGACAAGGAGCACAGTAGCTCTGCCAAGGAACCTGCGCAAGCGGATTGCCCAGCTTCTGCATCAGACCTTTGAAGACATCCCTGAGGCCAATTACCGCGGTGTGAGAGAGCACATCAATGCCCTGTTCCGCATCTAGGCATGCATGCAGCCCTAACCCTGCAACCCTCCTTGCCCCAAGGGCCCGCACCGAACAACTACCTTCCCAAAATAAAAGCCACTTACCAGGCACCTCCTCTGCGGTTTGTTCTTGCCCAAGCACTATCCGCTGCGACTGGCTACCTTCCTCCTGGCTTGAAAACAGCTCCTGGGTGCATGAATCTAGGGATGCCGGGCTGTCCCCCTCCTCCTCAGCACCTTCGTTCCCGCTCTCCTCCTCCTGCCTTGTTGAACTCTGTGCTGCTATGGCCTCTGAAGTGTCCACGGTGGTCTTTGGAGTGGAAGTGGGGTCGTCCCCAAGTATCGCGCCCAGCTCTTTGTAGAAACGGCAGGTCGTGGGGGCAGCATCAGAGCGGTGGTTTGCCTCCCACGCTTTGTGGTAGGCATTCTGCAGCTCCTTCACTTTAACCCTGCACTGCTGTGCGTCCCGGTCATGGCCCCTTTCCATCATGTCCCTTGATATCTGCCCGAAGGTATCGTAATTCCTATGGCTGGAGTGCAGCTGGGACTGGACAGCTTCTTCCCTGCAAACTCTAGCTTGCCAGCAAGTTAAAGAGTATGGGCTGGATGAATGGACTGTAAGGTGGATAGAAAGCTGGCTAGATCATCGGGTTGTGATCAATGGCTCCATGTCTAGTTGGCAGCCAGTGTCAAGCGGAGTGCCCCAAGCGTCGGTCCTGGGACCGGTTTTGTTCAATATCTTCATTAATGATCTGGAGAATGGCGTGGATTGCACCCTCAGCAAGTTTGCAGATGACACTAAACTGGGACGAGTGGTAGATATGCTGGAGGGGAGGGATAAGATACAGAGGGACCTACACAAATTAGAGGATTGGGCCAAAAGAAATCTGATGAGGTTCAATAAGGACAAGTGCAGAGTCCTGCACTTAGGACGGAAGAATCCATGCACTGCTACAGACTAGGGACTGAGTGCTAGGCAGCAGTTCTACAGAAGAGGACCTAGAGGTTACATTTGTCGAGAAGCTGGATATGAGTCAACAGTGTGCCCTTGTTGTCACGAAGGCTAACAGCATATTGGGCTGCATTAGTAGGAGCATTGCCAGCAGATCGAGGGAAGTGATTATTCCCCTCTATTCGGCATTGGTGAGGCCTCATCTGGAGTACTGTGTCCAGTTTTGGGCCCCACACTACAAGAAGGATGTGGAAAAATTGGAAAGAGTCCAGCAGAGGGCAACAAAATTGATTAGGGGGCTGGAGCACATGACTTACAAGGAGAGGCTGAGGGAACTGGGCTTATTTAGTCTGCAGAAGAGAAGAGTGAGGCGGGATTTGATAGCAGCCTTCAACTACCTGAAAGGGGGTTCCAAAGAGGATGGATTTAGACTGTCCTCAGTGGTACTAGATGACAGAACAAGGAGCAATGGTCTCAAGTTGCAGTGGGGGAGGTCTAGGTTGGATATTAGGAAACACTGTTTCACTAGGAGAGTGGTGAAGCACTGGAATGGGTTACCTAGGGAGGTGGTGGAATCTCCATCCTTAGAGGTTTTTAAGGTCAGGCTTGACAAACCCCTAGCTGGGATGATTTAGTTGTGGATTGGTCCTGCTTTGAGCAGGGGATTGGACTAGATGACCTCCTGAGGGTCCCTTCCAACCCTGATATTCTACGATTCTATGAGGTCCAGCACCTCGCCATTGCTCCACACTGGGGACTGTCTGTTGCGTGGAGGCATGGTCACCTGGAAAGATGCATTGAGAGCACTCCACGCCTTGCTGAGCAAACAGGAAGGGGAATTTCAAAATTCCCAGAAAATGTAACGGGCGTGTCTGATGGTTGGTCACCTGAGTGCAGGGCAGTAGAGTTCAAAGTGAAGACCAGAGTGGCTAGAACAGGCATTGTGGGACACTTCTGGAGGCTGATCAGAGCGCATTAATAGACCAGGGCGTCCACACTGGTGCCGCGGTGGTCCAGCCGGGGCACAGCAAGTGTTATACTTCTTGTGGAGGTGGATTATCAGGGGCGTTCCAGCCGCGGAGTCCGGGCGCTCTACGTGCCTTGCCAGTGTGGACACCTCAGGAGTTAGGGTGCCAGGGGCTGACTTAATGCACTCTAACTTGCAAGTGTAGCCAAGCTCTTAGAGTTAGGCATGTGTTTAAGTGCTGGATTAGGGGCATTGTGGATAAGGCTAGGGAAGCAACAGGAAGAGAAGAGTCAGTGATGACTTCAGTGGAGGCAGTGCTGAGCTGCAGAAGGAGCAAGAAAGAAGAATGCTTGGGCTTAAGGCAGCAGCAGAGATGAGACAAATTTAGGAAAATGAACAAGCAGCATAAAGCAAGACAGACACAGAGTGATTTCAACCAAAAAATCAAAGCAAAGCCTGCCCAAACTTTGGGGAACAAACCCGTCCTTACCTGAACCCTGGGATCATTTTTGCAAAGCCAATCACTTTCTGTATGCTGTAGCTGACGAGGTCAGCCAGGTGAGGTAGCATGGTGAGGTGCGAGAGGTTAATATCCATGGAAGGGCTTTCGTCAGACTCCTCGTTCAGTGCCATGTTGGAGAACATTCTGTGCTCTACAGACTCTGTGGAGTGGAAAGAGGTTGATATTTATCTTGGCTGCACGGTTTCCCCATGATAGGAAGTTTGTTCTTCAGGATAAAAATCAACCAAGAGGAGAGAGTGTCAAAATAAATAACTGCACAACCACAACATTTGTATCCCAGTCCATGGGCACCATGTGCACCTTGCCCTTAGGGGACTTAGGCTAGGGAATATTTTAGTAAAAATGAGAGAGAGGAAGAGTATGCAACAATCTGTGTTTGAGTGAGCTGACTCATGCTACAGGGATTTTAAAGCTGTCCTTGGAAAAGGAGCCTTGAGGAGCCACTGCAGCACAATTAGGAGAATTTTGGAATCAAAGCAACACTAAAGCTCTGTTTATTTTGAAAATCTGCATCGCATTCACCCACATCTCTCACCTGGCACCATTACCATCTGCCTTCAAGCAGTCTATATCCCCGCCTTGCCTAGTAACTCACATCACCCCATACCCAGGCACCAATATCCCCTGTGTTATAATCCCCCTGCTCCCTGATACCACCCCTACAACTATTTACCCCTAGCCAGTCTTCTGCTCCCTGCTCTTCCCTCATCCCGTTCCCCAGCTGTTTACCTATTTGCTATCCTCTCCCTACTTACCCCCACAGCTCCCTCCTGTTAAACAAAGCCATATGCCTACAGCAAACCCCTCCCAGTGAGGCCTCTATGGGTTCCTCTCCATCCAGTCTCCACGTAAAGCAAACCCCCTCTCATGGTTGTCTCCTGCTCTCTGTAGCATCCCAATCAGCCACCCCTCCTCTGAGCCAGGTTCTCTCTTGCTCTCTAAAATCTGCAGAACCACTGGACTGGCGTAGCACGGAGCAGAAATGTCACAAAGGTATTTGCTTGAGGGTTTGCTAAGGTGATACCTTGTAGAGCAGCTGTCCTCTGCCATTACCTATTCCCTCCCAGCCACACAACCCTCCAGGCAGAAGAGTTGCTTCAGGTTTGGCGCAAGAGGGGATGCCTCTGATGCATCAAATGTGGAATTAGGCCATGATCCAACAAAACATTTAACACGCTTAACTTTAAACACACGAGCACTCACCCTGGACTATGCACATGCTTACTGTTAGGTATGTATTTAAGTGTTTGGCAGGGTTGTGGGGGAAGGGGTTGCATTTCTTAAACAAAGATCATGAAGACTCAGAAATGACAAACTGTCAAAATAACCGTTATTTAAAAACCCCACAGATTGCTTAAATCCCTACTCTGACTTATCCATGTGACTATCATTTGTAGGGGAGAAAGCCAATACCACGTATAATACCTGGAGAACAGCTGAAGGTATCTGAAGACTCTTCCGATGAGGAGCCATGCGTAAGGACCGATGATGATCTAGTTATTCTTTTGCTTGAGTTGGCTCTCACAGGAGGCTGGAACAGAATGCAGGAACTGATTATACCTCTGAGAAAGTGGGTTGACAAAGGAACACTGCATTTTTCTTTATTCTCTGTGTCCTCCCAGGTAGAGGGGCGCACTTCTTAAACATTGTCCTGGCCAAGGATAAGGGTACAATCCAGTGGACTATAGGATTTTGGAGGAGAATTTCCAAAAGTGCTCAGTGTTGGCCTACCTCTGCTTCCATTAATTTTGATGGGAGCAGAGCTGGACTGGTGCTGAGTGTTTTTGGAAACTTCACCTTGGTCTTTCCTATCTCTATTAGATTGCTCAGGTCATTCCTGGCTGACGCTGGACTTCTTCCTATGATACCCTGTCCAACGAGTAAAATATCATCAGGTTTTCCTCCACCACCACCATCATGGGAAAGAGCAGATTAGTCAATTGTTCCTGGGATGGTAAGTTGTCATGACAATGTTGCAAGGCTGATTTAGAAGTATTTTAAAATTGACTAACCAATAGCTTCTACCATGTGTCCTCTTTTGCACTGGGACATTACTTTTTAATTCTGTTTTGTTGTGTATCTTCTGGGTTTAAGACACATTAAATATAATTCTATAATTAAAATTACCTAGTGATTGTGTTAAAGGTCTCAAAACTAACAGGGCAGATACATTAGGAATATTAGTAACTTAGGTTTTTCTTCTAATTTTAAGCTACTAGTGTTCCACTTCCTGGCCCAGATCCTTGGTTGTGTGAATCAGCCTATCAATGAAGCTAAGTTGATTTACATCAGCTGGGATCAGGCCTGCCATATTTAACCAGATCATCCAGCACATACTCAGGTTTTGAATATTAGTTTTCCGATCACTATTGATCTAAGAAAATAGTCAGCTACTCATTAATTTCCAGCTTATTAAAAAAAATACTGTATCCGAGGCAGAGAAAGGTTTTATGCAATTGCTGCATGTTTGAATCTTGTGTTCCAGAGTCCTTGCATACCACTGAGGAATTTGACTAATTCAATACACATGTAGGCTCTGATTTGACCTATAGTACTTCTCTCATGGATGGCAACTGGAATGGATTCATACATTTTAAGGTCAGAGCTTAGGGGGATCATTGGGATCTAGTCTGATCTACATAACACCAACCACAGAGAACTTCACCCAGTAATTTCTGATTCAAGCCCACAGCTTCTGTTAGAGCTATAGCAAGTCACCCATTTTTTCATGTTCTGTGTATATATAAATCTCCTCACTGTATTTTCCACTGAATGCATCCGATGAAGTGAGCTGTAGCTCACGAAAGCTTATGCTCAAATAAATTGGTTAGTCTCTAAGGTACCACAAGTACTCCTTTTCTTTTTGTGAATACAGACTAACACGGCTGCTACTCTGAAACCTGTCTTTTAGAAAGACATCCAGTCTTGATTTAAAGCCTTCCAGTGATTGACAGCTGCCACTGTCATTTGTGGCAAGATTCTGAGCCCCAATTATATAAACAGAATGACATTTTGGGAGAACAGCACATGGGCACTTTCACTGATAGTCAGTGAGTGCCCTAAGATCACACGTTCTGAACCTGGGGGAGCCATAAACAAGATTCAGGGCATCATGACCACCTTTCTTCCCCATATGACTAGTTAGGAGGAAGATTGCAAAACTTTACATTGTAACACTGGGTCATGGTATGGAAGAGGTAGAGACTACTACTTAGCTTATCTATCAGAATTTTGGCACAGCCTTCTACCACCACCAGAGGTCCTCCTAGTAACAGCAAATGGGAAGTCTTCGCATGAAAGCTAAGGGAGAGAAAGCAGGTCCTGGAACATACCCGGAACTGGGTGAAGTCAGAATAGGTTGGGTCATAAGTTTTGCGATGGGCCTCGAGAAGAATGTCAACGACTCTCTGTTGCTCCTCCGATAATTTGGGCTTCATGCTCTCTTTGAGAGCCTCCTCTTCCTTCCTCTTCGTTATCATCTCTCTCTTCCTCTGGACCTCCTCATCTGTCAGAATGACTGTTTACAAACATGTGGCAAGGGGAAGAGAATGAACAAGAGTCAAAAATCAACATCCTGGAATTATCTACAAATACTTAGAAACTGGGTAAAACCAAAAGTCATTGTAGAAGATGTCTCAAAAGTGAGCTCCAGAGTAAATACCCTGTCCCTTTTGTATTGCTACTTAATAATTAAACCTGTATTTTCTCCCTCTTGTTTTAAATCTGCTGAATTAGCAGGTCACTGCTTCCTGCTGCTATTTAAATCCTGATTTAGCAATGTCACATCTCCCATAATTCTAGAGAAGCATTTGATCCAGTGTTAGATAGAATGAGAAAGAGAGAGGTGAGGAATTTTGGCATCACCATACATGTTCTAGACCCCAGCCTTGCAGCTTGTTGCATGTGGGTGAACTTCTGTGGAGAGCCCTAAAAAAGTCTGCAGACTGCCTTGCTCAGACCCAAAGAGCTCAGTGTAAGATCAACAGCTAGTCTCCCTTACCAAAAGATATCACCTCACCCACCTTGTCTCTTTGCTCACTCAAGGTCTAGATCCTGCAGTTGATATTAAGAACATAAGAACAGCCATACTGGGTCAGAACAATGGCCCAGTATCCTGTCTTCTGAAAATGTCAGTGCCAGATACTTCAGAGGAAATGAACAGAACAGTGCAATTTCAAGTGATCCATCTCAGTCATCCAGTCCCAGCTCCTGGCAGTTGGAAGTTTAGGGACACCTGGAGCCTGGGATGCATCCCTGACCATCTTGGCTAATAGCCATTGATGGCCCTAGCCTTAATTAACTTATCTTTTTGGAACCAAGTTATAATTTTGGCCTTCACAACATTCCATGGAAGTGAGTTCCACATGTTGACCATGTGTTGTGTAAACAGAAGTACTTCCTTTTGTTTCAGAGTAGCAGCCGTGTTAGTCTGTATTGGTAAAAAGAAAAGGAGGACTCGTGGCACCTTAGAGACTAACCAATTTATTTGAGCGTAAGCTTTCGTGAGCTACAGCTCGCTTCATCGGATGCTACTCTGAAACCTGTCTAGTAGAATGGGTAATCTCCTACTTCAGGGAATTTTGAGCAGGGGAGGAAGTATCAGATTGAAAATTCTTTGTGTGTGCTGAATGCCCCTCTTGATCATACGAGAATTTAGTCTGTAACTCTACAATTCCTACATTCTAAACTAAAATGCATGAAAGTTCAAGAGGTCATCAAACGGGAAAAAGCCCAAGGTGTCCAGGGATCTAGATGAGGAGTCTTTCGAAGAGCTGATTGCACACACTCTTTACATCCTAAAATTTAGGAAGATGCCGTGTGTACGAAAGACGAACTAGAGCTCTTTTTGCAAGTCTTCATTCTGGTTCTCGCATTTTTAGAAGACAGCAACAAACTGCTCCACATTCTTGTGAAGTTAACATTTTCAATTAAAGGAATTGTTAAAGGAAAAAAGTGACAAACTGAAAGTACAGTAAATCTTTTTTGCACGTACAATGCAAGTTTTTCCCATTTCTTTATCCCCACCCCTAAAATGTCTCATCAGGTTTCACTTCTGTGCTTTATTGCACCATCAAAACTCCTGAAGAGAATTCTAGATTTGTAATTAAAATGCTCCATGCATTACTCTGAACAGCGTACATTCCACAGACATGGTAGAATGCAAAAGGCAGATTCTCAATCCCTCTTTGAAAACACTGACAATTTACAGGTTCATGGTCAGGAAGGGTTTGCATTACACTCTGTAGATACTGTTGTTGAGAAGTGGCAGCATTTCCTTCTCTGATTGCATAGATTAATTTGGGCAAGTGTGCACAGTTCAGTTACAGTACACATAGCAATATTTGTGCAGCAAAAGCTACCTGAATCTGCTATGAACACAAGCTATGCCCTGCTCACAATTAAACTTATTATTAGTAAACATCAGCAGTTTTCATGGGATTTTTTTTTAAATGAACATATAGTATAGGCTTAAAACTCACTAATCAGAATGTGGAGGGTTCCTAAAGGACCAAGCAGACTCATCTCTATAAACTCAGGCCTTGATTCAGCAAGGCAGTAAGCACATGCTTAGCTTTAAGCACATCTTTTAGCGAGACCTATGCATGAGCTGAAGCAATTTGTTGAATTGGGGCCTTTGTACAGATCAGGATTCTGCACTCTGAATGAACAGTCACAGCTGTTTTGGCAAACAAAAGTCAATCACCATTTTCTCTAATCACTGGTCTTTAAACCCATTACTGGTCCCTTAACCGAACAGTGCTTTTTTGGCTCTGGTCTAGAATTGATTTTAAAAATTTCCAGGACTTAAACCAGTGTCCTTTGAGCTGTCCGAAAACAAAGGAAAATTATGTTTGAGATTCTAGCTCCACAAAACTCAGGAAATTCAAGTAATTGTTCTTCCTTTGACCATAGCTTGTCTCCTTTCCACATATGTATATTTCTGTTCAGAATATTAGTTTTGCCACCTCAGTACTATGTATGGACAGTACTGGTTTCTAGCTATCAAACACACTTGCCTAGATTTCAACATACAGGTTGTGACATTCCGTACCCCAAAGCAACACCCTAGTATCCCCATATTTACCTAGGTGATCTAATTATATGTTTTATGCAAAGTACTCCTTGTAAGGGATCATTCTAAAAGTCTTGATCTGTTGAACATTAATAGCCTGTTGGATTGCACGTGCTGTCATTGTATCTGAAGTTATGAATATTGACTCTGTACCAGTATTTCAAATGTGTTTACTCCTGGGGTGACACCCACAAGGTAGTTTACATCCACTCTAGCCAGCACATTGTGGATGAACCATTCAACGTCATGGCCCATTAAGAAACACAACAGGCCATGGAAGAAGCTAATCCCAGACCTGATGGACTTTCCTGTGAAAGTTCTAGTCAGGATATGGGTAATGGCCCCTGCTGTGACTCATCGAAGCATGCAAGGGCATGTGATCAGCTCATGTGACACTGGACTCCATCTTATGCCTGTACTTTTCCACTAACTGTGCTGGGGGGTTTGTTTGGGACAGTGAAGTTCCCTCCACATTGAAGAAGCTATAAAAGGAGGAAGTGACATCATCACTTGGCTTCACTCCCCTGGAACTCAACACCTGGAAACACCTTAGGAACAAAGAAAGGAAGTGGTCCCAGGCTGAAGGGATTTCTAGCCTGTGTATGGAAGACTGGTGGACTGTTTGTACCATAAGGGTGAGACAGCACTTGATTAAAATCTTGTCTAGAGTACAGAACTTAGATTGCAATTTTGTTTTATTTCTTAGGTAACCAAGTTTGATCTGTGTGCTATTATTTATAATCACTTACATTCTCTCTTTCTGTAGTTAATACATCTGTTTTATATTTTTTACCTAAAACAGTGTGTTGTTTGAAGTGCAAAGGGAACAGGGGCAGGAACAGGGGCAGGTGCACTGCCCTCTCCACATTGAGGGAGGGACGGACTGGAAAATAAACTTACACTGGTCAGGCTTTTGAGTAGGGCAAGACTGTATAGCTCTGGGGTCCTAGGCTGGGGAGCTGGCTGGTGCCTCCACAGGCGCCAGCTTCCTCTGGGCTCTAGGGGTGCTCAAACCCTTGCCCCCACTCCCACCCCCCCGCCCCCACCTCTGCCCCACCTCTTCCTGACCAGGTCCACCCCAGACCCTGCCCCCACCCCTTCTCCCAAGCTCCCGCCCCGCCCTGTCTCTTCCCACCTCTGCTCCACCCCAGTCCTGCCTCTTCACGCCCAGTTTTGCCCCCTTCCCCAAGCACACCCCATACCTGCTCCTCCCCCTCCCTTCCAGTGCCTCCTGCAAGCCATGAAACAGCTGATTGTAGTGGGTGGGAGACGCTGGGAGGGAGGGGGAGGAGTTGAGTGGAGAGGCCAGTGGCGGGTGGGAGGTGCTGTGGGGGAGGGAGAGCTGGCTGCCGGTGGGTGCTTCCCCCCCCCCCCATGAGTGCTCCAGCCCTGGAGCACCTACACAGTTGGTGCCTAGGGGAGCCTCTCTGTTGTTGGCTCATGAGTGGCATGTCCCTGTCTCCGTATGGCTGTGTAAGTGCAAGACCTGGAGAGAACTGCAGCTTGTCACAGCCTCACAGTGTGAGGGGGGGGGAGCCCAGATTGGTATGCCAGAGGGCTCAGCGGTACCCCAGTTTCAGGTTGCACCCCAGGGAAGTCCATCACACATGTCTGCAGACATGCAGAAGCATCAGCTCTTGAGTACTTGGTCCCATACAGCGCATGTGGGACAAGAGATTTTTCTAAACCCTTACATGCCTTGCTCTTTCTAAATAAAATCTTTGCAAAAATGTCTGTCGGCCCAATCCTGCAATGTGCTTAACATCTTCAACTGTCCCTGAAGTCAATGGGAGTTAAGGGTGCTCAGCACCTGTAGTATCAGGCTCTGAAACGCAAGTTTTCCCATAGAAAACAAGAAGAGGGTTAGGTTTATAGCTGGGTTTTCAAAAAGCTCAGCACCCAAGCAAGAGGAGCTGCTGGGTGCAGAATACCTTTGAAAGTCTGGCAACTTATTTAGGTGCCTAAATTGGAAATAAGCTGTTTTGAAAATCTAGCTTCAATTGTGGGTGCTGAGTTTCTTTTCAAAATCTAGTTCTTACAGTTCTTGAGCTATGAGCGAGTCATTCTGGTAAAGCACTGACCACACACCCCTTTCCACATTTGGAAATTTGTTGTTTGGTGTCTATACGTGCTACCACAAAGCAATCAGGACTGGGACTTCAGTGTTTTACGTGCTGCCACAAAAATCTTATAGGCCAACTAAAAAGAGGCCCCACAGAATTCCGTAAAGATTTCTCCAGACAATTTACTTTTGGGGTGAGAACAAGCACAAACTACTTCTGCTCAAATGGTACCTTTATTAAAAAGCTCCAAGCATCTGAAAAGTATAAGCAATTGAAGAGCTTTAAAACCACAACTACATTGCTATTTTCAGAAGATTATAATATACCCTGTGGCATAAGCAGCATAGAGATTTTATCACCTTATTGATAGGTTTCAGAGTA